ATATTGTGACTAATGGAGCGTTAATTCAACCAATCTCTTTTCTTCGTATGTGTAAATAGAAAAACTAAAATTTAATTTAATGAGTTAATCGCAAAGCTGATCTATCGCATTATTGGTTTAATATATTTAATCTTCTAGCAGAAGTACTCACATTATACAATTAGAATCTTTTGATAGTTGAAAGAACATTTATATACATTTTATATACATTGAGAGAAAAATATTTAGTATTTGTGTCTATAATATGTGTGTCTATAACTGTATACCATAGTAAAAGAATTATAGTCAGGAAAATCATTTTTCGAGTGTTACTACAATATCAATGAAATAGTAATTATACAAGCATATTGTTACTATTATTTTTGTGGTTAAAAGTAAAAAAAATATAGCACATAATTAAAAAAGAAATATATATATATNTATAAATAAAGATATTCTAGTAACAAACCAGACACTATTTTTTATCAAAAAGTCGAAGATAGCCAGACTTTTACTTAAGGGATTCTACGAGGAAAAAATTAAGTATTAATTCAAGACATATATTTTAATCGATGTGATTATATTGTTTTATATATAAGCAATAATAGATAATCTTTTTACAAAAAAATTAATAATCTTGAATTTCAAGCAATATTATAATATTATTGAAATATTATGATAGTCCAATGCACAATAGATTATTTTGAAAATAATAAATTTTATACGGATTTTTAAAAAAATATATAAAAAATTAATGTTTTATTCAACTTTATATTTTAATAAAATGTGCGTTAATCTTTTTTCAACAATATGAAAGTTTATATTGGGAATACAAATTATTTCGGTCCGTTTTTTGTTGTCAAAAATGTATTTATTTCAGAACAAAATGAATGAACAAATTAATCAAAATATTGTCCATCGCTGGCTACTACTTTTTCCCACCACTCAGGCAATTTTCGAATTCCATCTCGAAAAAATGTCTCGTCTTTTGAGGCGATCCAAGTTAGGAGTCAATTTTCGATTTCTGCGAAAGAAGTGAACCGGTGACCTGCCAAATCGTGCTGCATCTGTCGGAACAACCAATAACCAGAAGGAGCAATGTCCGGCGAATACGGCGGGTGCGGTAAAATATCTCAATTGAACGTTTCCAAATAATTTTTTACGGCTTTTGCGACATGAGACCGAGCGTTATCATGCAGAAGAATAACTTTGTCATGTCTTTGCTCGTATTCCGGCCGTTTTTCTCGTAATGCACGGCTCAAACGAATCAATTGTAGCCTATATCGATGGCCTGTAATGGAATCGCCAGCCACAAAAATTATAATTTACCGCATACGGTAAAATATAATTTTTTTGGCTGGCGATTCCAGAGCGAAGCTTGTCTTCAACGCTGAAATCACCATTCTTGAAACGTCGAAACCATTCCCTACATGATTTATCAGTTGGAGCATTGTCACCATAAACTTCTACAAGCATTCGATGCGCTTCAGCTGCACTTTTCTTCCAATTAAAGCAGAAAACTAAAACCTCCCGCAAATGCTACTTAGTTAACACAAAATTTGACATATTTAACACAGTAAAAAACAGGGATTTTGTATGAAACTCAAAGCGATATAAACTGAATATTATTGACAGATGTCTAACCTCTCTGAAACCACCGAAATCAGCTGTCACTATGAAACATTCATAACAGCCAGAGCCATTTTTTGAAAAAGGACCGATCTAATTTGTACTCCCAATACTTCATAATATAAATTAGATCTTTACACTTAAGACCGTCTTGAATTCCTATGTTCAGATTTGTAGCTAATAAAGCCACTTGTATAATATCTGAAAATCAACTTAAGATGATTTTAAATATAAGATTTGGCTATATTGTAAGAGTCAGAAAAAAAATCCAAAATTGCTGGATCGGAACTCGGATCCGGGACCTTTCATTTGACCAACGTCTGTTCTTACTACTGAGTTACTCAAGTTTTTACTCAGATGTACTCAGTGTTTGCCGATATCTAGATAAAATTATCTAAATAATCATCCAGACGAATAAATAGATCATTTTAATCTTTATCTAAATGGAAGAAATATAAAATATATTCATTTTCATCTTAGATAAAAACATGTTATCTCATCTAAAAATGATCTAAAATTATGGTCCATATTCTAAACTCATTTTTCGATCAAATGAAAGAAATAATATGGACCTATGCGTTAAGCCCGTATCAGACTAGGGATTGGAGATTAGATTTCAACGAATCAGTAAATTTCAGTTTTGTCTCCTCTGATTTGTTCTTTTAGCTGAATTGGTGCAATAAGTTAGAGTGAGACAAATATAGTTTGTCTCACTCTAACTTATTACACCAGTTCAGCAGTGCAACTAAAAAGAACAGATCATTTGTTTCAATTGATCAATTCACTTTAAGTCCTTATCAAATTGTCGACTGTGAAAGCCGACTTGACTGCCGATTACGACTGCCAACCCTTATTGAAACAATTACAATAGACTAGTTACATGATGCTTCACTATGATAGGTCCTTCAAGAGTCGACAGTCGTAACCACCAGTCAGATAGTCGACCTTCATAGTCCGTAACCTGATATGGGCTTTATAGAAGAAGACTGAAATAATGACTGCGTTTAGAAAATACGATTTGAAATAGCGATTAGTGAGCAGTCAATGATTATTGGTCTTTTTTATTAGATCTTTAAATTTAGAGCAATTACGTTGACGAATTACTTAACTATTTGTGCAATTTTATGATCTGTGTAATTTTTAATATAAATTTTTATAAAATCTCTTATGAAAATAATATCATCTAAAAAATTATGTAGATAAGTAGTGTTACTTATTTTTTCCTTCTAGATAAATTAAAAGCAAAATCGTCTTTATCCCATCTAAAATGAATTTTTCGAATTTTCATCTCATCTTCATCTAGATGAATCTGAAGTCATCTAAGGCAAACTGGATATACTCTTCCTCTTATCAGATGTTATTGCCCCAGTTTTGAAAAAAGATAAAAAAATTGTTATTATAACTTTTAATAATTCAATTTAATATTATAAATTACTTTTCTTAAGAGTAAGATACATTCAAATAAAAATAATTTAATTTCAAGTTAAAGAAATTGTAATTTTAATTCTTAATATTCTACTATATCGTGTTTTCTAATATTTTTCCTATCAATTCATGAAAATTATTCTCGAATAACGATAATATTTAATATTAATATTTTTAATATAGATAGAACCATATGTAGAATTTCCTTACGTAAGAAAGTTTTATCTGTTTAATGCTATATAATTTCATCTCAATATTTATATATTAAGAATAAGGATTTTTTTCAAAACAAATATATTCTTTTTCTCTATGTAGGTGACTTTTTCTTGGCTTTCTTTCAACATATAAAGCGTAACTTTCACGTGCACTTTCTCGCGAAGATAGAGACTTGTGTACGACGACAATTCGCGATAAGTCGCTTATCGCCGCAGCGATATAGCATGAGGCGTTATTTTCCTGCGTTAAAGACTTACGCGTTCGCGGAGCCGGCGAACAGGCCAACGTCAAACGCACGACGAGACTCCCGTCCAACCGACCTGCGCGCGCCTTCACCCTCACCGCCCCATTAGCCACTTTATTATACGCGTTCTACCTTGAGCGAATCGCTGACCCCCGCCCGCCCGCGGCGGATTGATCTACCTAAACCGCTTTCCGAATTCTCGT